CATGGTGTAGTGGTTATCACATCCGCCTAACACGCGGAAGGTCCCAGGTTCGAAACCTGGTGGGAACAAACTTCTTTATCAATCCAGAAATTCTTTTACAAAATATTTCGGGATGCTCGCCATTGGGGTCCACTTTCCATCAGTAATTCTGAACCAATAAAAATTGGCACCCGGAGGATTTGTTTTTTTTTCTTAGGATGAAATCGAAATATTATTCGAAAAGGTGATACTTATATAATGTTCGGAAACCTCTCTTATGAATTGAAATTATGATTTATTATATAGAACGTGCTCCCATGGTCTAGTCGTTATCACATCCGCCTAACATGCGGAAGGTCCCAGGTTCGAAACCTGGTGGGAACAATTTTCTTTATCAATCCAGAAATTCTTTTACAAAATATTTCGGAATGCTCGCCATTGGAGTCCACTTTCAATCAGTAATTCTGAACCAGTAAAAAAGAGGCACCGGAGGAGTTTTTCTCATAGGATGAAATCGAAATATTATTCAGAAGATGAAAATATAAATACTAAACGTCAATAATTGAAATTATGGTTTAGAGTTTCAGAATGTTCCTATGGTAGTGGAACACAACTGCTTCACACGCGGAAGGTCCCAGGTTCGAAACCTGGTGGGAACAAATTTCTTTATCAATCCAGAAATTCTTTTACAAGATATTTCGTGATGCTCGCCATCGGTTCAACTTTCCATCAGTTATTCTGAACCAGTAAAAAGAGGCACCCGGAGGATTTGTTTTTTCTCATAGGATGAAATCGAAATATTATTCAGAAGATGAAACATATAAAATGTTCTAAAACTTCTCTTAATAATTGAAATTCTCGTTCATAAATAATAACGTGTTCTCATGGTGTAGTGGTTATCACATCCGCCTAACACGCGGAAGGTCCCAGGTTCGAAACCTGGTGGGAAAGAATTTATTTCTCAATCCAGAAAATCTTTTACAGAAAACTCTGGGCCTTATTCATACATTTCTATGCCCTAATCCAAATAACTCAATTCTGCACCCTCTCCTCTGGTGTATATCACTGTTATAGAGAATGGCCATTTTTTTTTTTTTTAATGTGTATGGATATGCTTAAAAAAGATTCTTTTATATTGCCCCTTTAAAATGATTAGGATATTTATAAAAACTTTATAGTAATTTTCTTTATATTTCGGCCTTGGATTGCTGCACCCTAGACCATGGTCTATGTCTGCCTTGTAGGAAATATGTCACTTAGTGAAAAGGTCCCAATAACTTCAATTTCTCTTATAGTACAATTTATTCCTGTAATAAAAAACAGTTGGATCAATGATCACACTTTGAAATTTGAATTTAATTTTTACAATATTTTTGATAAGGCGCTAACACATGAAGGTTCAAAATCAGACCGTCGAGTTCTTATCGTCGCCGCCAAAACTACTGACTTAATGAACTAGCTGTTCTGACTGTGGTGGCGCTAGCTCGTTTATTTTGATGTATGAATGGCCGGAACTTTATAAACGCCTCTTTATTATATAATACACTAGCCGCATTTGGAGATTGATTGGTTCGCCGAAATCATTTCATGTGAATATGCAATTAAAATTTTTATACGTAGCTCGTTCTGACTGATGGCCTCGGAAATGTATTTTAAAACTTTAACTTTTGATAGATATTTAACTCCCACTATCTTAGCTCCTTCGGAACAGACGCCGCTGAAGGAAGCGTGCCCACAGGACGGGAGCTGGCAAGCGCAGTCTGTGCCCACAGTACGGGAGCTGGCAAGCGCAGTCTGTGCCTACAGGACGGGAGCTGGCAAGCGCAGTCTGTGCCCACCGGCCGAAGCATTTTCTCCCGCTAAGCCTAACATGCATTACATTTCGTAAAAAAGTGCGCGTTACATAATATTGTATAAAATGTACCCTTTACACAGAAATGAAACCATTTTGAAATATGTATTAAAAGATACATTCTAAATCATAAAAAAATGTTTAATTTAAATACTTGGTTTTTAATAATAAAAAATAAAAATATAGTGTATTTCCCTATAATTGAAAGTACCTAAGTAAACACTAGATTATTAATGCAAAATTCGAAAATATAGGAAAAAATAAATATTTGCACTCAACATTATAAAATGCTTTAAGAAAATTGTAATAATTAACTCTTCAAAGTCTTCAGAAAAATCTTCTATTTTAGGACTCCACTAACATGACGAAATTGGAACCGATATATTAGTACTGTCCTCTTCTAATTCACAATTTGAAGATTCAGAACTATCTTAAGAACTTTAATAATTTATTGCTTTATCACTATCATCGGAAAAATCCATAAATGTGTCATTTAAAAATTTACATATTTCCTCCTCGCAAAGATAACGCGTTCTTTTAGCCATAACTGCGGAAATAAAAATGAGAGGCATAAAAACCCTTGACAGAATATCTCCCATAAAATCCCAACCAAGCGAGAGGAGAAACTATGGACAACCACTCCATAAAGAGCTCTTTAGAATATGCTTTTATTTACACCCGCCAACACGTGTTTCTGTTTATATCTCAAAAATCCAATAATTCTAATTGAATGATTCACAGACACGTGGCCGACTACAATCTGACCTCGGAGTGAGAAACACTAAGGTACGGGACCAATCTTCTGGAAGAAACATACAATAGTAACGCCATCTGATAGAAAACATTTTGTTCAAAATGCCTAACGCATATTTGCGGCGCTGGGTCCACAGTAGCAATTTCGCCGTAACGCACGGAATCGGCTCTCGGCCCTGAGGGGAATCTAGCACAAACGCACATATGCGGCGCTCGTCCCGAAAGGCCTTACACCGTTCTGTTCAATATGCTATGCACTTCCTTTATTCTCTGTCATCTCATCTAATATTTGGACTTTGAGACGAAAATATACATACTAAACTTCAACTAATCCCATAACTTTCATGCTGAACCGACACACGTTTTAAAAAATAAGAGGTTAGGAAGTAGTGCATAGAATCATTCAGAATTAAATTTTTGTGTATGTTTCGAAAGATGTTTCAAAATTTACGTAATATCTTAGAAGATTTTTGTTATTGATTTGATATAAAATTCAGTGAACTACAATAAGAAAGCGAACTTCGAACTAAAAGAGCTATAATAAATTTTTATAAATCCAATTCTATTAAAGGAAAGAGCAATAGTTTCCAAAAGTGGACGAACTAAAAAAAATCTTCATCGTTGCTTGCTTCTGAAGTTAAACCTTCACTGTAACTATTTCAAAATTTAAAAAATTAAAGAATTTTATTAAAAACATGCTTTAAATAGAAACCTGCGATTTTGCAAAAAATAAACCGAATCTTCATACCTTGGTAATCAACAAAGGAAGATAAACCCAGGAAAAAATTATTTGTAACAGCAATGAAAACGGCTTCATTTTCATTATAACAATAAAAAGCATTGCTACAAAAAGCATAAAAATATGTTAAAATTAGGGAAAAAATTGTACTAAATAAACTAAAAAATTGAAACATTCAACTAAATATGTATTATTGAAGCGATACGTAATTGTTTAAATTTCAAAAAAAATCCCTTTTCGGCAAGCTTGAAGGCAAATGTAGATTCCTTTACGTTAATGTTACAAAAGTAATGAAATATTACATATTGATCAATACAGACATAGGCAAAATGACTTTATTGTTTCTACACATTGCAATATTTACGCTATGATTCTGTTTTCATGACATTTAATTTTTTTACTATATCAAGGTTTTATCGTTCCATTTTTCATTCCAAAAAGTTATGATAGATTTTTCGGTCAGTACATTGGTAAATTTTTTTTATATCTTAACACATAATCATTCAACAGGTCGGAGCCATAAAGAAATAAACAACTCAGCAGTGCAAATATCTCCTAGATAACATTAAGCCAGCCTATCTGAAACAGTAGCAAGAAATTGACACTTGACACGGATCAAGAACTACTTTAGATTTAAAAATCAGTTTATTTAATCTAGGTTACCATATAATTGTGCGAACGTTTCTTTGCCATATGCTAAAATCACATGACATGAAACATTTAAACATTACTAGAATGGGCTCATTTAGAGAACCCCCTGGTTACAGAAATAATAGTCACTAAATTCTTAACACAGAAGAAAATAAAAATTATTAAACATTGTGAGTTCCAAATTTAATACGTATGTTTAAAGCACAGGATATTGTTCGCTCCAACTACTAGTTTGGCTCCTTTCCTAATTTATAGCAACCCTTTGACGCCGCCATCCTGCATCTCTGTCAGAATTAGAAGAAGTTGTTTGGTTTTCATGTCTGCAGGTGGTATGAGCATCGGAGCTCGCCTATGTATTTTACATCATGTTTTTATTAGATATTGAAATACATATCTACTCTACCACATGAGTAACGCATTGGAGTATACATATTCAAGATTGTTTTACTATTTCACAACGCATTCACTTCATGTGTGACATCGCAGTTACCATGTTCAATTTTATTACTATTGTTCGCAACTGGCTCTTGCATGAGCATATTCAACTTATGCCAACAGGCAGCAGCCATTGAATTTATATGTGTATATATTGGAACAACCTGTATATATGTAAATAAATCATATATTATAAATAATCAATACAGTCCGCTCAATTCGACGAATAAAACGCAAACAGATATCAATGCAGACATTTTGACCAGTAAATTTAAATCTCCATCAACAGTTAAAAGCAAATACTCAGGCAGAAAACCCCCAAAACAATTTTAAAGTTAATTAGATGTTTTTCTATATAAAAAAAGGTTAAAGAGAACTCTTATATATCTTTTATGGCTATTTTATATTAAATTTATTAAACAAATCTTGGTACAGCCATGTTTAATTAAATATCAAATTAAAGTAATCTGGCAAATTAACTAATTATCAAATTAACTATTAAAATTAACTGTTTGATGAATTAAAATTAACTATTTACTTAAATAAAATTAAATATTTAATTAATTTTGATGATATCTTCACTAAAACCTTTTTTATGGCTTACAGTATATGCCAGCAATCTTAATCTTGTAATTATCTAATAATTATCTTAATTTAAATAAAAATTATTGTGTCTATGTATGTATGCTCCACATCTCCTCCTAAACCACTGGACTGATTTCAACCAGAGTTAGCACACTTTTTATTTAAGGCAAGAGAAAGTTCCCCTTCAAATTTTCAAAGCCCAAAAGTTACTTAAAGTTTCAGTTAATTAAAAATTAAGCAAGTCGTTTTTCCGTGATATCTTTGGAAAACATTATCTCACGAAACTATTTTTTACACCTTCAACAAAAATGTCAAAACTTTGACAAAAATTTCATTTCCATACAATTTGTTTCTCTCATTTTAATATTTTTTTAAAATTAATTTATACGGAATTCGCAATAATATTCTTTATTGTTGAAGAACAAGCATAATTCGAATATATATATGGTTGCCAGAATACATTCACAAAATTCTGGACGAATGCTGAAAGAAAATTTAAAAAATAGACGATTAACAATTTATATCGGGACCAACTGATGATTGATTTATTTTCATTCTTTAAATTGATGAATAATTAACTAGTTAATTTAATTGTTTCAACATATTCATTGAAACCTTTCTTTTACTTTAGTAATTGTTAACAA